TTTGCATTTGCACATGCGCTCACCTTCCACTTACAGAGCACTAAAACAAAGTTTAGTTTTGAAGTTGCCATCTGAACGTACACTCAGGGACTATTCGAACATTGTCCACCCTTCTGTTGGTTTCAGGAAAGAAGTCCTTGATGATTTGAAGGATCAAACAGAGAAGCTGCATGGAATTGCAAAGTATGTTATTCTTATGTTTGACGAAGTATCTGTAAGCGATGACTTGGTTTTCGATAAACATTCAGGAGAACTTGTAGGATTTATTGATCTTGGAGCAGATTTGAATGACATTTTCAGGAAGAGCAGTGGCTTTGATGGCAAGGTACCATCAGTTGCTTCACATGCATTGGTTTTCATGATATGCGGTATAGCATCATCACTGAAATTTTCTTTAGGTTACTTTGCAACTCGTACTGCCACCTGTGGAATGCTATATCCCTTAATGTGGCAAGCAGTTGGATTTTGTGAGACCTATGTTGGTTTAAAGGTTATTGCTGTTGTTTGTGATAAGGCAACTAGTAATCAAAAGCTGTTTAAAATCCATGGGCAAGACAAGGAAATAACTCACAAGACAATAAATGTCTTCAGTGGGGCTGAGAAGCGCCCTTTGTTCTTTTTTTCAGACCCCCCACATCTGCTGAAAACTGCAAGAAATAACTTAGCAAATTCAGGATTTGGTAAGAAGCGTCTCATGTGGAACGAGAAGGACATTGTTTGGAGTCATGTGGTAGATGTATATGAATCAGACAGGAAGTGTATGGTTCGGAAGCTGCCAAAGTTAACTAATGAGCACATCTATCTTAACCCATACAGCAAGATGCGTGTTAATTTAGCAGCACAAGTTATGAGTGAGACAGTTGGTAAGGTAATGGTGGAGTATGGTCCTACTCAAGCAAGTGCAACAGCAAATTATATCCTCATGATTGACAAGTTTTTTGATTTGTGCAATGTGAGGTCACTTACAGAGGGAGATCATAAAATTAAACCATTCCTCAAGCCATACAAAGATATAAATGATGAGAGGTTTAGATTTATTCAAGATGAGTTTTTTGTGTATCTTAACAGATGGAAAGATGCAGTTAAAAACAGAAAAGGTAACTTCTCAGATGAGGACAGAAGAAAGATGTTTTTGAGTGAGGCAACATATGAGGGGCTGCAGACTACTGCTCTTTCACTTGTAGAATGTGTGAGATATCTCCTTCAGAATGGCTTCAAATACGTTCTGACAAACAGATTTTGCCAAGACCCTCTGGAAGACCATTTTGGAAGACACAGAGGCTTAGGGCGGAGGTCAACTAACCCCAACATTAGTTCCTTTGGGTTTCAAGAAAACAAATTTCGTATTCAAAGGAGCATTGCAACAAGCATTACACCAAAGGGGAATACAAAAGGGATAAAGCGGCCAGCAGCAGGAATAACAATCACAACAAGCCCATTGAAAAGGAGAAAGAAATGACCAGGGTCTCTTTCAAACTCATTTTTCATTATTTTTCAAGACTTACTTTAGCATCAATTAGCTTTTCGAACTGATTTGTTTCCAAGTAAAATTTCTAGTTAGAATACTTAATCAATCCTTTTTCACTG